TCATGCATGCAAAGCTGGCGGGCGTGCCAGGAGCTCTGGCGCCTGTACCGTCCGTCTCCATCGCCGCCCGGGGCTGGCTTCTCTGCGGCGACGGCGCCCGGCTCGCGGGAGGCGGCCGCGGCCAGCCGTGGGAGCGCCGGCGGCGAGACGACCGGCCGCCAGACGCATCGCTCAGGCGGCCCTCCCGCGGCGAGGCGGCCTGCCCGGGCCAATCTGTCACCGGCCGCCACGCGGCGGCGCGACCAGGTGCGACGGACCGGCGCAGCGGAGCCGGTGTGACGGACCCGCTCGTGCTGACGGCCGCGCGCCGGCCGGCGCTGACGGACACGTGTTGACGGCGGATCGATGGTGATCATCATCCTCAGCCAGGGCCTGGTTGGCGTGTGCTTTGAATTTCGTCACCGTGGTCTTGGAGCGGCAGACGCTGCACGTGAGCTTCCATCGTCCCGAAGCTAATTTTGGCGATATCTGCCAAGTGATGTTTGTCACCTTGCTTTTATTTTGGTGTTGGTTGCTGGTAATCTTTATTTTGTAGTTTTTCGCGGTTGTGGAGCCTTGTCAACAGTCTTGGCGACATCATTCTATGGAGCATTGAACAACGCGGCTTGGAAAATGGCCTTGCTATCGTGCCTTGTTTGTGCTCGGTTGACAGATGAATCCCAATGACGTACATTTAAAGGTTTATGTGGTAAACAAATGGCGTGAAAATGAAAAGGGTACTTTTCAATGTAAAAGATAACTGTTATTTATAATTATGATGTCTTATATTTATTACAACAATTTGCTTGCATTTGCAAGACAAATGAGATAATTGTAATAAGCAATTTTGCCCTTTTCTTGCCATTTATTTGTATGCATAATTACGACTCTACCTAAAATAATTGTCCTCTCATTGCTTCTAACTGCATGCGTTCATGCAAAACGAGCTGAACATGCTTAGATTCCATCCGAGTCTCATGAGTTTCATTCTTCCCTCGGATTTCACAAATATTTGGGAACTCAGCCTCCGTCCTCGTGCCCAAATGTTTGCAAGAGCCCGGGAAAAAATGAAACCTTACACCGGCCGCTCTGTTCAACAATCTTTTACAGACTATTTTCAACGAAGCGAGCATTTCCAGTCTACCTCCCCAGCAGAATTCGGCACGGGCCGGCGCGGGCAGACAGACCGGCGGCCCTGGTCCGCGCCACCCCACCGCGCGCTGAGCCGGCCCTGTATCGGAGGCGGAGGCGATCGTGGCCCGTCACATTGCCATCAGATCGGGGAGGCGGCGCGAGCTGGGCGGTATTTATCCGCGCGTCGGCCCGCTGGCAGGGCCGGGCCGGCCAATATGAAGCGGCTGGCGCCGCCTGGAATAGCAGCTCCGATAACAGCGCGACAGAAACGCGGCCGCGACGGAAATCTATTAGTGCCGGTCTGAGGAGGGGCAGGCCGGCGGCGGGCGGCGCTCGGAGTCTGCAGAGGCAGACCGCAGGGCCCGTGGCCGCCCGGCCCGGCGCGAGCAGCCGCGGGGAGGGGGAGCGCTGGAGGACCGGTGCGGGGTGGCCTCGGCTGCGGGCCGCCAGTCGTCGGTCTGGCTAACGTGATCTCATGAACAGCATTGTTATTAGGGTCCACCGGGACCAGGCGTTCCCAGGCCGCAGGGAACCATGATCTATGCATACCACTGAGGGCGGGCCGGCCGCAGAGCACCGCGCAGTGCCGTGTGATAGCAGCACGCCTGCTCGACAGCGCCGGCGGCCGGCGCTGTCGTGAACATGTTCTCGGGTGTGTGTTGGGACCACACCTGCCGGGGTGGTCACTTTGCGCGGCAAGCTCGCCCTGAGGGCTGTGGCACTTGCCACTGGCGGGTGCGGAGTGTTAATGTTTTACTTTGCGCCTGGTGGCCCAAGGGGTATTAAGTTTATGGTATATAGCCAAGTGATAACTGAGTCACATAACCGTCCTTGTACTTAAGGTAAGGTCTTCTCCCTGCTAAGATTGTTATCATTACTTGACGAATTCCTGTTCTTGCTGGTCTCATGTCAGTGTCTCGTAGGGAAAGAGTTTAAGAGCAATAAGCTATGCAGCACGTGATGTAATTTCATTTCGATATGCAAACCCTAACCTCTATGCCTGTTCGGAGTGGCTGACAGAAATGTAGTCGAGTGACGCAGGGGCAGGGTGGTCACCTTCAGTATTTTTATTGCTGATTTTTCTTCTGTTTGTGGCAAGGCTTTACAACTTGGTGACTTCTACTAACACCCCTTTAAACATGGGCGCCTTTCAGAATTACAAGAACCTCGGTACAGCGAGTACTGGTGGCTCCAGAACAAGGTTCAGAGAGATATGCCTGAGAAATCGTGCTTATTTTCGAAAGCAGGTAGTAAACATAAGACAGGTCACCGACTAGTTGGTGGAGCTCTGATCGCCTTCAAAATTTTGAAATATTGTGTTAAGACAGCATTTTGCATCAGAGTTTGTTTAGAATACGCAACGTTTTATAATTGCCTGCACTTTACTCCATGTATGCTAGATGGACTAGATAAGCGAAGAAAAACTGTGCATATTTTTAAAACTTGCTTGTCAGTGTGTATGTGCCTAACCAGGTTTGTTAACATCCATGCATGCTGATTTATCTATTGGATTGGGACGTCACGGAACACGCTGAAACATCCCGCCGCCACCCCACCCTCGTGAGAAACCATGCTCCGGACGGAAGCAGAGTTGCGTTATCCTTCATCTGGGGCACAATCAGCTATTTTGTATAATTTTGCCGGCCCATGCCTAACGCCCATGCCCAGGACCCGTGCGTAAGGTCTCTCCAATTGTTTGCCGCTACGTGGACTAGTGTCCCAAGCGTTGGCTCGGAAGCTCCAATGTCTGATAGCGTATCATCTGTCGCGCGCGATGAGTGCCGAGGCCTGTACTTCGCAGAACCCTCGGCGAGACGACCCGGGAAACCCGTATGCGGCCTCTGTCAGTGTGTACGCTTTCCCTCGGCCAAGCAAAAGATAGCTCTTCCGGCATGGCATTGTCAGAGAAGTAATGCAGTTTCGATGTCCTGTTGGTTGAGGCGTACTGGATGGCCATGCCACATTAACTATTCCGAGACCATTGTAAAAAGGCCTCCGTGACCGGAGCTCCTCCTCCACAAAGCCACTGCTGCGCTCGTGTAGGCCTGATCATGATAACCGCTGACAAATGTGGCGTCATAATGGTAATAAAGAGCGCTTCTGTGACAGTGAGTGCATCTTTCAAAGAGAGCACTTAAGCCTGTACTTAACTCGCTTCAGACCGTCGATGTAATCCTCTCCGACGGACCGGACTCTCCGGAGAGCCACCCGAGCCATCTCGATAGCTACTCGCGCTAGGAAGAAAAGACGGAGAGCCAAACGACATCCGCGTGGCGGAGGATCCAAATAATGATTTTTACATTCTGTTCAACACTTTGGTCACCGAGGTTTGTGATGAACCAAGAGTTTGTTCGGCGTTGATGGTGGACGAGGAATTAAAGCTGTTTGTTACGCGGTGCGACGAGAAGCAATATCAGCAGGTGCACTACATAGCACTTTAAGGCCAAGAACTTGTGCCAAGTGATCCAAACCGCTTATAGGAGATCAAACAAGAAATGGGGTAGCCTGACAGTATTAATTATCTACGCTACATGTGGACTTTTCCAGTGTTTCAAGTTACGTGATTCTCAAAGTAAAACTTGTTCACTAGCAAACCAGCGTACCCGACGCAAGTTAGCTGCATGCTAATTTACCGTATCTCCGTCATATCATGGTCATGCATGGTCACCAGGATTCACACGTGCTTACGCGATTTGAAGCTCAGGAAAATGCGGCTTGTTGCTTGCTGCGGTTTATGCTCAAAAACATTGTTTTGTTCTATGTCCAGGTTAACTTAGGTCAGATATCCGATGAAGTTATGCCGGAACCCATTGATCTTGCTGTCACATAAGGTCTGACGTGCTGACGAGTGAAACTGGCTCGTCATGAGAGTAATAGTTATACTCTGCTGATCTGAACCTAAGTGACATCGGTTCATTGTGCAGAATTACATTCAGTCTGTGTTTACCTGCTGCTGCTGTGTGTGACATCTCCGATATTTGCCGCAATGGTAAATGCTCTTCCGCCAGACAGTAAATACACATATTAAGGCCTATAGCAAGGTAGGGTAACGCAGATCAGGCAAGTGATATCTAGCGATGTGATGCATGCCGACCAATGTAGGTCAGTAGGAGCCCAAGTCCAAAAGCAGCTTCTGAACTTCCTCCCAACACAACTCTACGAGGAACAGCAGTTTACTATTCTGAAAGATTACGCCTCAAGGCTACAAAGATTGAGACTGAATAACCCTGGCTCCAAATCATGAGAAGTGATTTTCCTTGAAACCACCACCAGTTGTGACCTGACTTGACCCCGATAGGGTTGACGGCAGATTAGGAAGCTCAATAAAGGCTATACTGATGGGCCACGCAAGGCCCATTATATCTCTTCGCCCTGTGATCTACGGCAAACCAGAGTATGGCCTCCTAGAGCCCGCGGCCGTGTGTAGGCTTAAGGCTGTTTGATTAGTGTCTGTATTTGTATTGGCTTCATTTGATAAGGCTGGCCATTGCAGTCGTCAAGTTCTCATCTATGCCCCTCAGAGTTGGCTGATGCCGGCACTAACTGAATAACTTTATGCTGAGTATCTTGTGATATGTTTGACACCATTCGACCTTTTTCCTGCCTGATGTCTCCAGAAGAAAAGTCAGGTACTCAATTCGGTCTCAGAGCTCTATGTCGACCCTGCGTGCTACGCACTGAGAACATTAATAGAAACGCTTTATCATTGCCCTTTTACCACCTCCAGTCACCCTCGAACGTCGTTCATGCTGCTGGCAGACCAGTCACGTTCGTCCGCTGTCTGCGGGCAGACCAGTCACGTTCGCCCGCTGTCTTTTGGCAGACCAGTCATGTCCGCCCGCTGTCTGCTGGCAGACCAGTCATGTCCGCCCGCTGTCTGCTTGCAGACCTGCCGAGCCGGCAGCACCTGCGAGCGGCGCCTGTCCGCCTGGAGGAGCTCTGCCGGGACACCAAGTTCACCAAGCGCGAGATTCGGGTGATGTACCGCGGCTTCAAGCAGGTGAGCTGCGTGACGGGCGCCACTCACGCCGGGAGCGTACCGGCATTGCGATGCCGGCGAATGCTGCGCTCTGTAGTTACAGCCATCTCCTGTTTTCTCTATCTTGCGTGTACATTTACGTGACAAGTATTCAGTTTGGTATGAATTCAGTGGACGGATCCCAATGAAGGTGGCGAAGTGTGAGGCATAAGTATCGCGGATGGTTTTTGTTATGCTATGGCATACACACACAACGCTTCGGCCAGTGACCTGTCCGGCCGTCATCAGGTGTTATGTAGTCATTAAAAGGTCTGGATGATGCATGGCTTTCAGCCACGTACGAAACCCTGGGTGCCCACCAGACGAGGACGACCCCATGAACAGTTAAAACATCCGTGGTGGCGAAGCATTTTGACTAAGCCACTACGCTTACAAAAATCGAGCCTTCCGCTTTCGATCAAATCAGACTATTCACCACAAACACTCGCCGACCCCATTCTACAACGCTCCATAATTCGGCCAGTCGCACCGACTGTTCGCTCCGCGTTCGGGTAAACAAGACGACCTTTGTTAAGGCTCGGGCTCGGACAGCTGTCTGTCAGGCGCGCGTCTCGGCCCGGATATTTATTTGATCCCCGGCCCATGATATTCCTGTGAAAGGCTTGGCCCGACGCTGTGTCGGGTACGCTGTGGCCCATCACTGTGCCAAATTCGCTGTGCATGCCAGATTTGTTGTACCAGATATGCTGCGTCGGATGTCCTGTGCGTTTAGTCGCGGTCACTGCTGGAAGCGTCCCATGCGAAGCTAGCTGAGTACTTCGTACGGAAAGCAGCTTTTCTGTTGCCAGTTATCTCGACATAATGATGATAAGCAACCACGTTTTTGAAGTCATTTTCATTCCTTTTTGGGGGAAGGGGAACAGCAGATATGTCGCTGCTACCTGGCGGCGTATCTCAACAGATATAACGCTGTGGCCTAAGACCGCTGTTGCGTTAATTCTGAATGAGAGCAATGGTAATGACACTCTTCCTTTTGGCAGGATTGCCCGGATGGCATAGTACAAGAGGAAACATTTAAGGAAATATACGCCAAGTTTTTTCCCTACGGTAGTGAGTATTTTGTTACTTCTTAATCGTACAGCACTGTGGAGATAGTGAGGCCATACACACCCCAGAGAAATGGAGGTAGGAAAGACACAGAGAGTGAAAGGGGAAAAGGATGAAAGGATGGTGGGAGAAACAGTGAGCGGGTAAGTGAGATAAAGAGGGCAAGATGAGGGGAGAGAGAGAATAAGAGAAAGAGAGAGAGAAGAGAGAAAGAGAGAGAGATAAAAAAGAGATGGAGAGAGAGGGAGCGGAAGAGAAAGAGAGAGAGAGAGAGAGAGAGAGAGAGAGAGAGAGAGAGAGAGAGAGAGAGAGAGAGAGAGAGAGAGAGAGAGAGAGAGAGAGAGAGAGAGAGAGAGAGAGAGAGAGAGAGAGAGAGAGAGGGTGAGACAGAGGGAGGAAGGGAGAGAAAGAGTCTGCCGTGGATTGCGTTAAAATCGTCTAAGACCCAAGCGAGCAAGATAGCGTTTAGCTCCCCGCCGTCAGCTGGCTATCCGCCCGCGAACGCCAGCCGCCGCAGCGGAAGACACTCGCCACGTGGGCGGAAGACACCAGGATGGTGGCAGCACCCAGGTGCGCCACTCCGGAAAGCAGCAGGGCGGGTCGTGGTGTCCTGGTGCCGTGGATCGCACGCCCTTCGCGACGGACTGGGCTCGGCGTGGCGGCCCGTTTGCCGCGCGGCTCACGGCTGCTACCGCTCCGAGAGTGGGCTGAGCCGCGCCTCCTGGAAACGTTGACTGTGTTCAGCGTCTGCGGCGCCGGCTGAGAGAGCGGAACGCTCCGCGGCTGGCCGGCCGCCTGGCTGTGGTCCGTTGTCGAGATGCGCCGCCGGCTGGCCGGCTCCGGACGGCTGGCTCCAGCAGGTCGGCGGGCTCCCAGTTCGAGGGATGCGGCTCCCCGCCTGGTCTGCGCTCAGGCGGGGAGCCGCAAGCCGCGCTTCTCGGGCCTCGTCGCCTCGCCCCGAGCCGCAGTTATGCGCCTAACCCGCCGGCGAGACTTGCGCCGTCGTGCTGCGGGGCGCGACAAAGCCGCGACCGGCGGCCGCCGCGGTCGCTGCGGGCAGCGCTGCCACTGCCCGGCCAGGCAGAGCGCTGCTCTCGCCGCGCCAGCGCCGCGGTCAGCCGGGAGCGCTGGCCGGCCGCGGTCCCGCGGCGGACGCGGCATGGTGATATTGTACTATGAAATACTATTGTAAGTCAGTCTTAGCACCGCGTTATAATGCACCATAATACGTCTGTTGTAACATTGCGGCACCTGATGCACACAGCACATGACGCGTCGAGCAGTGGAACGATTTGCTTGCGTGCGTCATGGCAGGGACGGTGGTTACATGTTTATTTCATTTTCCGGCCCGTACTACTCCTCGCACCTCATTATGTCGGCTAAAATGCATCAAAATGGTGGCGCTCATTTTGATGAAGCTTAAACTCATATAAGACTTATTATCATGTGTAGCATTACCGTTCGACATCTGACACACCTATCACCTATCTTTTAATTAGATATATGTAGCATCAGGCTAAATCGTAGTCGTATTTATCAACGTCAGTCATGTCGCCTTCCACATTTGTTTAATTACGTTTTTTGTGGATTGCTAGGTCTGGAACATGCATAAACTTTCAGCGTTTGAGATGCACGATCACAACATTTCTAGTCACGACAAATTCGCTCCGGTAGCAGTATGTTTGGGTAGGAAAAATGATGTTCAGAACTATTAAATGTCAGAATAATTTTCTCATTCCGATAGAGCAAAAAGCATATCTTGTGAGTATTTCATGACGTGGCACTTTTTAAAGGTTTTCTAGAAATCCTAATTTATGACAACGGTGCTTCGCATTGCTAGGTACTGCTTCGCGTCGCGGGCATTGTTTCGCATAGCTTCACGTTGCGTGATTTCCACTGTAATCCTTTGCTTTAAGACCCAGCTCGCATTAGATTTTAAATTCAACCAATGTCGACGAACTTTAAGAAGTACCGAAGGACAAAGACACAATAAAGCAATGAATGTGCAAGCTTTCACAAGTCAGCTAACATGGCTTTCGTTGTTTCAGATTCCAGCTCATATGCTCACTACGTGTTCAAAGCCTTCGATGTTAATAGCAACGGCGAAATCGGCTTCAAGGTTTGTATGCACCACGCGTGCGTCGCTGTATCTTAGACTTTGCATGGTCGTACACCCACGCATACAATTGTCAGCATGCAACTGAAACCTACTAGAAAAAACAAAGTTATTATAATCTGAGGGCTTAGCCTTCATGAAACCCGAAAGCTTATTTAAACTTTAATACAATCTACACTTGGATGTTTCACAACCATTCATACTCACGTCGAAAATATCTCAAGCTTCTGCTATGTAGATACATGTGGAGAAGCTATCAAAACTGACGGAAGCTGTGGACAGGGCCCGCTGGTCAGCCTATCCACCCTGATAGACAGCTGTCGGCAGGGCCTGCTACTGTGAGTATCCACCCTGACGGCCAGCTGTGGGTAGGACCTGCTACTGTGAGCCTATCCACCCTGACGGGCAGCTGTCGGCAGGACCTGCTGGTCAGCCTATCCACCCTGCTGCGCGGCACCGTTTACGACCGGCTCAGCTGGATCTTCAAGCTGTATGACGTCGACGGCGATGGCTGCATCACCAAGCGGGAGCTGCATGAGATCATCGCCTCGATTTACGACATCGTCGGGCGGGACACCTCGCCGGTCAGTGGGCGCGAGCACGCAGCTTGTGCCGGGCCCTCCGCGGCCAGGTCCGAACGCGCGCTGTCTGCTGCAACGTACTGGAAATCTTTGCTCTTGTAGTTACATTGTCTTCGAGTATTTTTGTTGCTTCGCGTGTTGAAAGTGAACATCATGGCATAAGTGGGTATGCACAGTTTATCTAGCGTAATCAGAAGGGCAAGGTTTTCGAGAAAGGCGTGGACTGTACGTCAACTTAGAAAGGTGTGGACTGCACGTCAACTTCTGCTGCTCAACACAAAAAATACCGGCCCTAAGTCGGCCTTAGCCGGTGTCCAAGCAAAACCTGTACCCGCGTAAAGCGTTGATCTTTAGACCGATGGCCCGTGACCTTGGCCGTGTTTATGGTATTCTTTAGGCGACCCCTTATAGCTCCCTTCTTAATGACCCTCGTTAGACCCGTGAGCAGGTCCAGTGACGTCACCCGGCCAGAAAATCCGTTGACGTCAGCCAATCAGCGGCTCCGCTGACGTCACCCAATCAGCGGATCCGTTGGCGTCAGCCAATAAGTGGCTGCGGTGACGTCAGCCAATCATTGGAGCTCCGGCGGCGTCAAACGGTGTCGGGGCTCTGGCTGACCTCTGACCCCGCTCCTGCAGCTGGACGAGAGGCGCATCCGGGAACACTCGGAGAAGGTGTTCGGAAAACTGGACCGGCACCGGACCGGTGTCGTCACCGTCGACCAGTTCGTCGACGCCTGTCTCAAGGTGGGAGGCCCAGCGCTGAGATACGACGGCGGATGAAAGCGTGTTCACCACCGCATCAGCTCTTTTGCGGCCGTTCGCCGTGTGCCGCCAAATGCGCAGTGTGTTGGATTGCTGTTTATCGGCAGCGGAAACAAGGCGGTGCGGTTTTAAACAGATGTACGTCGCGTTTTGAAGACGACGATACCGTACTATTTTTAGAAGTTACTTTGTTGGTACATATTGATGAGTTTGATTTTTGCAACTGGCTTATCATTATGAGGGGGAGCGGCAGTGGGTGAACGAGATGACTTGTACGGGTGCTTTTATCGCGGTATGCTTTTTATGCGTACCTAAATTGTGCTAGCTAAATTACTTATAGTGAAAGAAAAAATATCCCGTCACGTGACATCATGTCTGATTTTTTTTCTAGGATGACGTCATATCCTCGTCTCTTCGAGTCTACAGCACCGGCTTCGAACACGTATGCTGACCAGTTGAAGTCTTCCCGCAGAGATAGGTGCTCGGTGGTATGAATCCTGGTTAACAACTGCAAAGAAGCCATCATCTGGCTAAATTACACAACTTCTGTTAGCTGGTTCTTTCAACGTTTGTGAATAAGTGGAGCAGGAACATTGGGAAAGCAAGCCAATAACTTCATGAATTACGTCATTGGCCTGCTAGTAGTCGGCTGGTTTCTCACTATTGGGACAGTGTTATGGAATCTCCTGGCCACGGTGGACAGTGATTGATGTTAATATCTCAACGCCGTCGAATGCTTGGTAGTGGCAGATTTTTACAGTGCGACAAAGATCGTTGTGTGGATATTCATCGCCTTTTAGTCATATGTGTTGCGTAACGATCAAAGTGACAATAGTCTCACTTGTCTTCACACCAAGGCATTTGCCTCAAAGCTATGGTGTGATCCGCTGAGAGCAATATATTAAGTGCAAGTGTGTGTCAGAATAATCTCATATGTGATTGTTATCAGCGTTAATCCTAGTGACGAGCTATTGTTATCAGAGCTGCGAGTTAGTGCTGTTACATGCATTCATGTTCTGCGTGTCTGCACATTATAGTTCGTTTTGATTGCGCTGAAGGTCTTTGGTAGATCGTGGCTACTTTTAGTGACGAATACCCCAACAAACTGGTTCGAGCATTTCTAGCTAATCTGAAACCGGAACCATCAAGGTACTTCGGACCTATTTGTTCATTTTACACAATCGCGTGGTAAACAATGGAGTTTGTAAATATGTACACAATCTTACTCTTAGCTATGATGATGTATTGTATTCGTAGATTGGACAAAGAAGCTATCGTTAATATGCGCATATTACAGGCGAGCATATAAGCTGTTATAAAGCCGTGCACTGTCGGTTAAGCTGAGGTGTTGCATGAGATGGAATGTGAGATAGTTGGCAAACAGGAGCTGTTTTATGTTATGCGTCAGTGCTCAGGAAAATCGTGTTCTATGACCATTTTATTATTGTCATTACTCCATAGCACATGGACAGAAGTAGTCTTCTGAAACGCTTAACCAAGTAGACCCTTGAGCATTCGAAATAATTCAGTCCATGACCATCTAGCAATATACAGAAAATGTGTGCATGAGCTGTGAAGGTTTTCCGCACTGTTTGCTTCTTCAGGATGGGGCACCAGACATGGCGCTGAATGTATGTAGTTGTGATAATGCTGGCGTTGAAGTTGAACCGTGTTGTGAGTGCGTGAATCATCTTTTCTAGGCAGAATCGCAGAAACTCTGCTTGCTTCTTTACATCGCATAAGTATTAATACATTTCAGTCGCTGTGTTACCGGGTGTATGCTCCGATTGGTGTGTCGTTGACTGGATGTTCCCTTTCCTCTGTCTCAGGCTCAGATGCCCAACCCCTGGCATCCAGGTTTCCTACGCCTTTGCTTGAGGGATTCTCCAGCTCAGCTTCCAGCGGCACTCCAGGCTTTAAAGCTCAAAGGCGCACAGGCGGCTGTTCGGCCGAGCTCGGCCGTCCAGTTACCCGTGTATGCTCGGTGCCCTTATCTATATGGGAGGTGTGTGTGTGTGTGTGTGCCTTACTTACCCCATCTTCCTCACGCTTCTTTCATTCCTTCCGCTCTACTTCGCTCTTCTGCCCCTGCTTTCCCCCGCCACTTCTTAACTTTTCAGGCTTCGGGATGTTGCTGTATGTGTTTGTGGGGCACCTCTCTAGCTACCGTAAAATATTCATGTGGGCTTTTTTAAAATTTGCTTGCACAAATTGGACGTAAATTTGGGCATGACTTCATAAAGATCGTCAGCGGTCGTTACCCAACTAGGCTCGGAGGCAGTCCACTGCCGTTGCTTGTGACGCCCGTCTAACTTAGCTTGGGGCACCATTCTGTGGCTGTGTGCCTTCATTCGTGAGCTGTCCTCTACCCGAAGCTGGGATAACCCCCTCTTCCCAAGTGCATAAGCGTCCCTCTTTCCGCCGCTGTCTGTCTTGAGTTTGACCTTGAACTTGACCTCGCCCTTGACTTTGAAGCACCTCCGTACTTGGGCTTGGGTTTGAACCTTGGACCCTGTACTCGGTCCTGGGGCCTCCCATCTACCCAGGGACCAGACAGACCTTGCTCGCCTCGGTGTCTTCGTCCACCTGGTCTTTTGCTTCCTCCTCAACTCGGGCTTGCAGCACAACTCTATATGCACCTGGAACTCCTTCTACCTATGATTGTTTGCATTTGCTCCCTTCAGGTAGGCAATACGCTGATCCTTACATCTCAAACGTCCCCTCACTGCGTACATGGACGCCCCTCTACCTGAAATTGGAGGCGCCGCTTCGCTGAGGCTCGGGACACTTGAAGCTGGGCTTGGGGTTCCCCATCTCTCTGCAGAACTGGCCCGCGCTCCCTCTGGAGGCGTAGGGTTGTGTCCCACCGACTGCGCCCTGTGGTGTCTGCCGCTGGCTGGCCGCGCCACGCGCGCTGGGCACACGCCCGTAACGACATTGGCCGACCCTGGCACTCGAGCGGATGGGATGGGGCGCCGCCTCAGGGAACACACCACTGCGGCACGGCCGCCGTCGCAGGGGCACGGTCTCGGGGTCGGCGCACCAGAACGGCCGGCGCTCACCACAGGTCCGCGGGCGGGCACCGTTCGGGGTATAACGTAACGGAGGGTAGTTTGGGATGATCCTCTATAGGCTATTATCGGCGCCCTTCATTTTAATTTAGAAGCGCCTTTCAACATCTGCATGGCGAGCATCTGTTCATGAACATGGCTAAGTCCCGCCTACGTCCGTCCCGTCTGTTCTGTCTAAATTTAAAGCCAGGGGGGAGCGATCCTTTATTTCACCTTGCAGCACCCATTTTCTATGCTCTTTGGGCGTTCACTTACAAAAATGGGAGGCACCACTCGTTTTGGAGCCGGTGGCATCCCCCTCCCTAGGCTAGGGCTCCGAAGCTTTGACAGGGAGGGCCAAGCTTGGACGCAGGTTTGCCTTTGGCTGTGAGACGCTGCTCTATCTGGCCTGTGACGACGTCGATCTGGTTTAAAGGCGTCTCCCTGTCTGAGCTCAGCGTCGCCTGTTGTTCCGGGCTCAGTGGCGTCGGTCCACTTGGGTTTTGTGATGCCCCCGTTGTCTTCCTGCAACAGGGGCGCCTTAGCACGCGCTCGGGTGGGAGCAAGGGGGGGTCAAATTGACCCTCCATGAAGGTTTTTCGAGAATGGCTTCCGATCGGCTCGGCGTAGCCGCGCCAAATTTTGTGAGCTGTGGACAACTGAATAGCAGATTGTTTGGTATAACAAAATCATATGTTCCTTGTAAGGCCGCTGACCTACAGCAGGTCAAAGTCAGGCCATGGTTTCAGCAAAGGCAAGTCAACACACCCGACAAATTTGATGTCTCTAGCTTTCTTAGTTTCCGAGATCTCAGGGGGGTCAAATTGACCCCCCCCCCCCCCACACGCGCGAAGGGTATCCAGCCGGCCACCCGGGTGTGTGTTAATGGGACAAAGGCGTGCCACGAGATTCAGATGCAGGAGAAGACGCCCATACGTCCACCCCGAAGATATCCAGATACTAACGTGCGGGTGCCTGCCGGGCCCCTTTTTGGGTGTCCCACTGCATGTCGACATTTCCTAGGGTGCAGGGTGTCGCCATAGAAGGCCCCCTTTTGAGCTTTCGCCGCCCGTACCGAAATGACACCACAAAGCAAAATTTCGCGCACCATAGGCCTACCTGTTGTGCTAGAAAAGAACAACATCAAACTCAAGGGCACTCCGTCAAACTAAGAACGATTATCCGAAAGAAAGCGGAATGACCGATGCGACAGACACCTCAGGCACCGCTGATAGTGATAACTACGATACAACTGTGTGCAATATCATTCTTATGATTTTGGTCATGCTCTTTAGTGTCATCAGGCATAGACAGAACAAATTTAAACAGCTATTAATTACATTTGATCTACCTGTGACACTGTCCATGCTGGTAACTGCGACACAACTACCTGCATCAGGACCTATAAAATATTGGTCGGGTCCTTTGATGTCATCTCGCAAAGACGTGACAAATTAAGCAACCAATGAATTGCAATCGATCGATTGGCTCATTTAAGCGTCTGGAGAAAAGGGGCTGCGGGCATCTACTTTGAAGAGTGAGTCTGAGTAGATGAATACCTGCTTCCAACATGCCACACTCAGCACGCGTTTAACAGGCCAGCGCCATCTCGCGCCAACTTGACCAACTCGAAGTTCCCTCTCTCACCCCAGGTTCGGTTTTCAAGTGTCACTGGCGGGCTTTGGCAATTTGGTGCTGTGGTTTTAACGAGAGTGGGAAAAAGATCATACGTCACAATTAGCTAAAGGCCTGAACAACAGGTCCCAAAACATGTGCCGTCTGATAAAAAGTATGGCAATGAAACGCATGGAACATCGGCGTTGAGGCGGCGCGAACCGAGGCAGTACTAGTGTAATGTCCAGAGCCTGAAGGCTGTCTAGGTCTTGTGCGATGAAACGTATTCGGACGCGAGGCGTCCTTTTATCTCTTGTGCACGCATGTTAGCCACCGCTGGCCTATATTTCAAAATTTTCCTTCTAAAGATATTCCGGTAGCAAGTTTAGAATCTTTCAACGCATTTTTTACTGTATTTTTATTGGCTTGGCGAATTCTGTCATATTATCCAATATTCCAAACAGTGAGCTACACTTGCAAACCCCATTCGAGGCCTTACCATGCGTTATCTTATGCAGATTACAGTGTGAAGCTCATACACACAAGGATTAAACCACATAACGATTTTGCACATCGCAGGTCACATCCACCCATGGCTTGCTGTATGCGTCGGCGTAGTAAGGGCTATAGAAAACCACCTTCAGTACTTCTATAGTCCACGAAGCTTTAAAGACAGGGAAGAGGTCTAGACTTACTAACCTTAGCTCTGTACCTAACATGGCCGATCTGAAGTCACTTGCGCGGATGTTGAAGGAAATGTTTCACTTTTGAAGATATTGAAACAAGCATCAGATGTAATGAGCAAGCTTACTTATAACTGGGTATACTTTTAAGTAGAAAGGACTCCTCTAGACAAAACAATTTCTCTGTTTAGTGAATACGTCATGGGCTGATTACTTCACCGTCCCTTGCACAACATTGATCGAGACCCAACTTACGGCGGTTGCGTCTAAAAATCGTACTCACGAATGCTAAATTATAAACAAATCGAAACTTATACTTATATTGGCCTTGATCACCGCATGGCTTATGGAATGGCAGGGTTTGAATGACGATATCATAACTTCACGAATGCCAGGATGACCTCAACACACTCTCCCCGAAAAAGTATCCCCATCTTCACGGGCATGTAGTTCAGAAACTGGAGGGGGTTAGGCCTTGAGAAGGGCAGGGTTGTAAACTGCACTAAAGGGTTTTCAAAATGGCTATTTCAGTTAAAATATCATGTAAATGTGGAAAACTCTCTAAACGACGTAAATCTGGCGCAATTTCACGCGAGTTGTCAGATGCCTCCGCTTGCCTGGCTCTAACGCGCATAGCTTCCAAGACTGCTTGAAGGCCTGAAAGATTCCCTGTTATCGGAAAGCTTCTTGCCTTCGTCTTGGAAAGTGCACGTAAATTGTATGCCTCAGGTCGGCCGGCGCACCAAACTAATTTCACTTATAGAGGGGATGTTAAGGTTGCCGTGGTTCACTGCAAAAGTCAGAGGAGTGCCACCAAAGTCATGGATGATCTTAATGGTCATTCCGCTGACGAAAACAACTCCAACTTGTGGTGTCACGACCATTAAAACGAATCTTGTCACCTGCGATGTGCTACATTGTGATCTGACGTTCATAAATCTTCGTCTTCGCCTTTGATCGATGCTAAGCCAGCGGTAAAGATAGCTTAATAAATCCCTCCAAAGTTAGTACAAGATAATATCAGCATTATGGAGTTCACGGAACTTATTTCCGAAGTACAATTAATGCTCATTGAATCGTTGGAATGGTGCTATAGGGCCTTGGTTGGAATGGATTATGTGGCGCGTGCCAGACCACATGGCAAAACTTCGGCTATCGTTACCCAGGCAAGTTTCCGTGGAAATTCTACAAAACCGGAATCAAAGGCTGTAGGAACTTTTGGCAGATGAAAAAGCGTAAGGCAGCTATTGTAAACGGCAAAAACAGTAGCTTGCGAAGGCCTATCTCCTTAACGATGACTTCACCGGTCTGCATTAAAGTATGGCTTGAACTAAGCGGGCTTAGAAATATTACTCAGAAACAAGCCGTGCATGTCGAATATACAGCCATTCTGTTGGAAGAGATCCATTACAATGCAACG